TGTAAAAGAAGGAAGGGGGGGGGGGGGGGGGGGGGAACTCTTTCAGTCTGTTTCTCTGTTGAAAAGCAAAATGGCTTATAATATATAATAAATAGTATATAATTACTCTTGTAAATAATATTATTAAAATAATTTTATTAAAGAAAATAATAATGAAATAATAATAATAATAAATCAATAACATATTACATGACCTAGACATTTTTGACTTAAAGGCTTTAAAGGGGTCATATGGTGCGATTTCAAGTTTTCCTTTCTCTTTGGAGTGTTACAAGCTGATTGTGCATAGATGAGATCCCTGAAGTTGCAAAGACTAAAGTCTCAAAACCAAAGAGATATTCTTTATCAAAGTTAAGACTCTACCACACCCCCCTAACACGCCCCCACATATCTACCTCACTATGTGGAAATATTTGCTTTATGCCGCCCAAATCTGCAAGCAAAGAAAGTCTTAACCGTGGCTTGTGTACTGCAAACACATTCCAGCTTCATCAGCTTCGTCTGTCACGCGACTCTGTTCCCCTTTCGGGCTTGAACTGATGGTAAAACTAATGACATTATTTACTGTCTTTACATTTATTTTGAAAGATGAAGCTTGCGATTATGGTAAGGGGTGTTACATTTCCGACGAGTGCTTGCGGTGTTCGGCCAATCACAATGTACTGGGTCAGCTGGCCAATCAGAGCAGACTGCGCTTGTCGGAAGGAGGGACTTTGTAGAAAACAAAGCGTTTGAGAGAGGCGGGGCATAGAGGACCTACAATAATGTACAGTATTTGAAAAATAATGTGTTTTTTGAACATTAAAGCATGTCAACATATTCTGTTACACCAAATACACCAAATAATGATCTTTTAAAAAAGCATCATATGACCCCTTTAAGCACCACAAACAAACTCAGAAACTATAGACAATGTTCAAATCATTGTCTGTATGAATTACATATACACACACATACATACATACACGCATACATTTAATAAACATAAAATAAGACTTGTATATATTATTTAGAAAAAAACATATGAGAAAATTAGTACACACACACACACACACACACACACACACACACACACACACACACACACACACACACACACATATATATATATATAGAACATGTTATGATCGTGCTTATGAGTCGGTGCCATTATATATCTGTATGAATTGTAAGCAGAAGGCCGCTATCTAATAATACATTATTACCCTCTGTACATCTCCTCCTCCAGATTGTTTCCGTGTTCAGGATCTGCCTGAATTTCTTGCACACCAGCGCCAGGTTGGGCAGCGCAGTGCCGGGCAGAGAAGAGAAGATCTCCACCAGGAGCTCCGGCGGCAGATCCAGCAGCGACTGCGGGTGCGGCGGCCCTGCAGAGGCCGAGGCCGAGGCCGAGGCCCCAGAGCCGAGTCCGCCGTGTCCGCTCGGC